ACACACACACACACACACACACACACACACACACACACACACACACACACACACCGGGTCTGTTCCCGATTCAGCCCGGGTGCCTGAATGCCCAGGGGCTGGGATGGGGATATCCTTCCCGCAGGTGTCCAGAGTTGCAGAGTCGGGGTGAAGGACCGGAAGCCTTCCTTCTTGCCGGGTCCTCTTGCCACCCGAAGCGACCAGTTCTGACCCCAGAAGACCCCAGCCCCGCCCCCCCAACACACAAACACACCAGGATTGCTCAGGCGGAGGGAGGGAAGCCCAGGGAATTCAGAGATATGAGGGGAATTCGAAGATAGGGAAACCAAACAAACTTTTCTCGTCACCCTCCCTTCCTCGGATCAGCACAGATGATCACAGGCTGGTCAGGCCTGCCTGGGACTGTCTAGAGAGCTGGGTTCTCCTGTGGAAACATCCTGCCTGTGATCGGGTTAACTCGGGCCCTAAGAGAAAGGGGGTGCCCGCTGCGAGCTGGCCCTGGCCAGAGCCCGGGAACAGGCTTAAAGCCAGTGAGCCCCACAGGGTGGGGATTCGGAAAACACAGAAGCGCGCCGAGGCCCAGAATTGGGGACTGGGGGATGGGGGAGTGGGAAGAACTGGTTGAGTAGCTCTCCGGGGTCCAGGTGTGTGGGGGTGGGGAGGTGAATGCTTTTCTTTTTCGTTTGAAAGTTGTTTGGTGGGGTTGGATTTTTAAAAACTGTTCCTACCTTTCCCTTTCTTGAAAAACCCTGTTAGGGCGATCAGTAGATAGGGGCTTTGTGTGGGGCAGCCCGAAAGGTAGCGGCCTGGGGTAGGCAGTGAGGGACAGATCCCAGAGAGAGCCAGGGAGGCAAGTCCTATAGCCCCTCAGGCCCAACGAAGGTGAATTTCAATAGGTGAAAAGCCAGGCTCAGCTTTACACATGTAAACTACTCCTAATGGGCGCTAGCTGCCCGGCCCCCCCCCCCCCCAGTTGTGGTGCTTTCAAAGACTCTAATGATTTTGGATAAGGTGAAGATGAGTCAATTATACTTCAGGATAAGACCGAAAATGACTTATGGGGCCTAATGTGCTCACTGCATCAACGTCACCCAAATTCTCCTTGTTTGGGAGAGCCAGGCCATTTCTGTGTTCCTGCGTTTATGTGTGTCCTTGTGTGTCCGTATGAATATGTGACTGTGTGTCTTTGTATATGTCAGCGTATCTTTGGGTATTGGCCTGCTTGTCTGCCTCTGTATGTGACCACGGAAGTGTCCGAATGTTAGTGGGTCTACCTGTGTGTGTGCCTGTGAGTACCTGCGGGTATGCATGTCTTTGTGTGTGCTGGTGTATCCATGTGTGTGCCTATTAGTTTGTGTGTTTGTGTCTGTGTGCTCCCGTTTGTGTTCATGTCTCTGTGTATCTCTGTGTCTCTGTGGGTGCTAATGTGTATGTGTGGCTTTAGTGTGTGAGCTCGACTTCATGTGTGTACTTCCCATCAACCCAAGGGGGGAAAAACCTTACCTCTCTCACCATCCCATCTCACTCTTGGGTTTGTCACTGGCCTCCACAAACCCTGAATTCCTTCTCTTCTTTGGGGGTAGCAAATCTTTCCCCCATCGGGCAGCCCAAATGAAAAGACTGGGGAATTCCCTAAAATTAACTAGCTCTCTTGGGAGAGGGAAGGAATTGTCCTCAATTCCTTGGCAAGAAGAAGCCAGTTTTGTAATCCCAAGGACACCAGGCTTCTCGATATTATATTCCCCCCCCCCCTTTTTCCTGGTCCCCTATCCCGCCGGGAAAGGGGATCGCTTGAAGCCCGCAGACTGCACAGTAGCTCCCGGAATAACTGATTGAAGTAGGTCTGAATCCTGGGAAATCGGTCCCGAGGGAAGTAAGGACCCCAAGTCTGTACCTTCCACTGCCATTTATCAGTTGCGGCCGGTCCGGGGAATAAGGCTTTGGAAAGCTCTTTCCCTGGGGTGGGTAGCATCCCGCGTTAGCCGAACCCCTGACATCCTTTTTTTTCCATCTACTTCCAAGAAATCCATCTCCTGCTGCTCCAATACCCGGGCCCCTCTCCCCACTCTCCTCATCCCCCAGAGAATCCAACCTTCTCTCCCCAAGCCTGTACCAAGGCCTGGGCCCCTGGGTTTCGGGGTCTGCAGGATAGCAGCCCCGGCTAGAGTAGTCTTGAGGGAAAGAAATCTGATCTAAGCCTTTCCCCCGCCCCATCTTCGTTATTATTTTAATAGGGGGCCAGTTTGGGAGTCTGTCTCCTGCCCAGTAAGATTTATACGACCTTGTTATTAATTCCGATGAATAAATAATAATTGTGATTAATAGATAAGCATTAACCGCAATATTAGAAAGCTCCAGGAGTTCCCTCCGGCCTCCCACCCCAGGCGGGAGAGGAAACCGAGAGAATTCGGGATAGGAAAGTAGGAGGCTGGAGGGTGGGGATCTGGAGGAGGGGGTGAAGGTTTTAGGTAGGGTTGGTAAGGACATGCAAGGCTATAGGGGTGGTAGGCACAGTCCGGGCTGGAGTTAGGGTGCCGGCTCCTCCCTGACCTTAACGCTTCTCTCCCCTCTCCACTTTTCCCTCCCTGTTCTTTCCTCAGGCGGTTTGGCACCAAATGTGCTGGGTGTGCGCAAGGCATCTCTCCCAGTGACCTGGTTCGGAAGGCCCGAAGCAAAGTATTCCACCTCAACTGCTTCACCTGCATGGTCTGCAACAAGCAGCTGTCCACGGGCGAGGAACTCTATATTATAGATGAGAACAAATTTGTTTGCAAAGAGGACTATTTGAACTCGCCCAGTGTCAAGGAAGGCAGCCTCAACTCAGGTACCCGGAGCCCGCCCGAGGCCCGCGGCTGGCGCGCGAGGCTCTGGGGACTGGACTGGACGGACCAGGGCCTGCGTGCTCCCGTTGCAGCCACAGCCTCCGCCCAAACCTCAGCCTAGGCGCATCTGGGCGTTGGGGTGTCGGGGCGGGAAGGTGGCAGGCTGAGGGGTGGGATCAGATCTCAATCCTGCTCCGGCTCAGGGCTCTGTAATGGGCGGGATCACGGGGCGCTGGATTTGTACCTGGGAAAAGCATTTAGATCGAGGCAAGCAAGGGGGAGGGAGAGAAGGGGAATGGATGGACTGTGTGAAGGGGTGTGAGGAAGTGCTGAAATTGGAGATGGGTGGGGAGGGGGAACATCTGGCCTTCTGCCTGCCCTCTGTCCCACGTGACCACAACTGGCCGTGGAATGAGTCTTTCTGTCCCCACCCCGCACTTCACAAAATGGTGGCGCCTGCGGGTCTTAGCACTGGCCTTCCTCCCCCTTACCTTTACCCCTATGATGCCTCTCCCACTCCGAAGATGGAACCCACATTGTCCGAACGATTTTTTTTTTCCTGATAGAAGAGAATGTCTTCCCCATGCCGGGTCAAGGCGAGGGCCCCAGGCTCCACCTCTCCTCTCTTTCAATTGCCCAAAGTGCCAGGGACCAGTGGGGGTGGGGGTAAGAAGAGAGGAATAGAGAGAGGCCGGGGACTTCAGAGAAATCCACAGCAGCCGCCTTTCCCGATCCCATGCCCTCTCTTTCCCATTCCCAACGCGGACGGTCCTCTCCTCTGGGTAGTCGGGATTGCCCTAAATCCCCCTTTTAGAAAAAAGAAGAGCAGGGACGCAGGAGCTTCTCAGCCCCGACCTTCTAGAACTGGGCTTCCGCAGCATTCCCGCTCCCCGCTTACCTTTGTACCCTATCCCCTTCCCCCTACAGTGTCATCCTGTACGGACCGAAGTTTGTCTCCAGACCTGCAGGACCCTCTCCAGGACGACCCCAAAGAGACCGACAACTCAACGTCGTCCGACAAGGAAACCACAAACAACGAGAACGAGGAGCAGAACTCTGGCACCAAGAGGCGGGGGCCGCGCACCACCATCAAGGCCAAGCAGCTGGAAACGCTCAAGGCCGCCTTCGCCGCCACACCCAAGCCCACGCGCCACATCCGCGAGCAGCTGGCGCAAGAGACGGGCCTCAACATGCGGGTCATCCAGGTATGGAGCCCTCAACCCCCAGCCCGGCCCTTTGGAAAAACCCAGGACTGCCTTCCGCTGCTCCCGCAACGCCGCCGCCTTCCTGCCTCTTTTGTCCCTAACTGACTGTCGCTCTCCCTACCACTCAATCTCTTTCTCTTTTCTCTTTTCTCCTTAAGTTTTCCTTTCTCCTCGTCCCTTTTCTTCTTTTCTCTAGTTCTGCCTTCCTTTCTTCACCTTTGCCTCTTTGCCGCTCTCATTATCCCTCTCCCCTTCTCTCCCTTTGCCCCATTTCCTTCCTTCTTTCTTCTCTCTTTTTCTTGCCCTTTCTTTTCCTCTTTTCTCTCGTCCTCTCTTTCTCCTTCCTTTTCTTTCTTCTCTTCCACCTGGAATGTTTCAACTGAAAGCCCCCTGATGTGACAATTTAGGAGTCTTGACCTCTAATCCTGGCTCACACTCCCTGCATATGCCCTTGGGCAAGTAATTTCCCTTCTCTGGAACTCAGTTTTCTGCCCTGGAAGAGCAAAACAATAACCCTTTGGGGCTTTGCTTGCCCGGGTGGTTGTGAGAGAAAATGTTTCGAAAACCTTGAAGTGACATGTGAGTTATTAATAGCAGTATCGGATGATGTGAGTTAATGGATAAGAAAACTATCTGCCAAGCCCTACACATAAGGAAAGAGGTTGTTGCAAAAAACCCTCCTTTTCTCATTCTCTAAGCTTTCTCCCCTCTGCCTCCCAATCCTGCCAAAGTTCCCTTCATCTCCTCCCTTTGATGGCTAAGAAGGAACTTGGGAGCCCTTCAATTCATTCCCAGCGTCTCCTCTGGTCTCTTCCCTCCTCCTCTCGGAGCCTCTCGCAAACTGCCCCCTTCTTGAGAATCCCGATCACTGTCCCCAGTCAAGGCACTGAAATCACAACTGGAGGTCGGCTCAATACCGATGAGGGAGAAAGGAAGGAGGAGCCCAGGCCCGGGCTGGGCTTTTCTCCCATAATACAGAAAAGCAAAGGCAGGAAGGAGGAATCCAGGTCAGAGTCCGTCTAAGTTGGATCCTATTAGGAATAGGATTAGGGCAGGTCTCCACTCCTCCCTTCGACTCCCCTCCCCTCCAAGGACCCGATAGATCTTCGGGGAGGGGATGATACTGGGTTTGCCTAAGGCAAAGGAAGGGGGTAGAAGGGAAGAGGAAAAGAGAGGAGGGAAGAGGGAAGAGGCTGAAGGAAGAAGAGGAAAGAGAAAGGAGTAGAGGAGGGAGGCGGGAGACCTGAGTAGAAGGGGGACAAGGAGGAAGAGGGGAAATGGGAATAAAGGAAGAAGTAAGGGAAGGAAAAGGAGGTCCCTAGGAGTGCTTAGATGCTTATGTATGAAGAATGTGTGGTGTCCGCAAGGGCTGTGCAGAGGAGTTCAGGCATGAGAGGAAGTTGGTGCTTTGGCTATGATGAGTGGATCTGCTTCTTTGGGAGGCTGCTCTCTTCTGCCAGTGGCCAAGGACACATTCCCAGGATTCGTCCCTCTCTTCCTCAGAGCCTGGTCTACACCACCTGGGCCGGAACTCTTTCCAAAGGCCTTCTGGGATTATTAGAGTGATAGGATGTCAGGACTGAGAAGGACCTGGGAACACAGGAAGAAACCTTAGAATATACAATCTTAAAGCCAGGAGGGACCTTCAAACAGGATGTGAGAAAAAGAAAGAGCCATTAAAACAAAATTCAGTGCTGGAAGAGACCTTAGATTCAAAGAGCCCGAATTTTCCAGAGGAGAAAATGCCCAGAGAGGGCAAACAACTTTCCCAGGATCACACAGCAAAGTCAGATATAGAATCTAAGTCTCCTGAGTTGTAAGATCTTCACTCTTCCTATTATCCAAAAGAATGAGGAGAGCGGTCGTTTCCCCCATGAGCCTGGAGAGAGAGGAAGGGGGTTGGGAGACTGTGGGCGGGGGAGAGGAGATACAAATAATTAGGTTATCTCTCAGGTCGAGGGCCCCTTTGAGATGGAGAAGGAGAACAAGAAAAGGGGAGGGGGAATAAAGAATGAAAGAAACACAGACAAGACAAATAAAAAAGAAAGAGACAGGGCAAGGGGGAAAGGGAGGAAGAATCTTTGTTAACACCTCTGACTCTTGTCTTTATGAAGACGTCTGAGACTGAGGCTGGGGGCCGTAAGAAGTCGACTTCATTATCAGTCTCCCCACGGGTTTGCGAAATCTTTCACTCTTGGTTGGTTCGAAGAGTTAACTCTCAACTTTCCCTCCCTTCACCAGCTCTGACTTTAATCCGCCCTCCTCCCCCATTCCCTCTCCCTCTTCCCTGGTGGAAGGAGACCAGACTATAGGGAAGGGGAGGGGAGGGAGGAAGAGAGATGAGCTGTCTGTCATTAGAGTTTTTCCTTTCTCTTGGTGGTGGGGGGGAGGGGGCGGGACAGAAGAGAGACCCCACTTTGGAGGTATTTTGAGGAGAGAAAGAAACCAAAGGGGAAAACTAGTCTCCTTTATGCTGACCCCCCCCCCCCAAAGTGGAAGCCCAGGCCTCCTAATACTCCTCTACTTCCTGGGTCTGTCCTTCGGTCTTGGTGTTCTCAAAGAGGCCCAACCTTAGGGTTCTGCTCATTGCTTCCCCCACCTCCCATCCCCAGGTCTGGTTCCAGAACCGTCGGTCCAAGGAGCGCAGGATGAAGCAGCTGAGCGCTCTTGGTGCGCGGAGACACGCTTTCTTCAGGAGTCCTCGGCGCATGCGTCCACTAGGTGGCCGGCTGGATGAGTCGGAGATGCTGGGGTCCACGCCCTACACTTACTATGGAGGTAAGGAGAGCTCCGTGGAATTCTTTCTGCCTCGCGTCCCAGGACCCAGGCCCCTAGAACACTCCCCGTAGCCACCCAGGAGCCCAGAAACGTGCCTACACCTCCGGAGAGACTCCTCCTAGAAATTCGCTAGGTCCCAGCTTCCTAGGGGCACTCCTGCCCAGGGCATCTGTCCTCAACTGTGCGTGCAGGCTCACACTTAGCGAAGCTCAAGTACCAGAGAATGGGCTTGCTCACAATTTCAGGCCGATATGGGCGCTCTGCAGAAATCTGGTTAGGCTGCTCTTCACTGCCGTACAGCCAGGGCCCCAGACTCACTCCTCAACCCTTCACTGGACATGGAGACACCTCTCCTCCACGGCCACGAGTAACCCCGGTCCCTCCCTCCCCCACTGTCTTGGGCGTGCGGTAAAGTTCGAGTAGTTGACTTTATTTTTAGTTAGTTTTGTCTTTGTACATCATGAGGTTCCATTTAAAAGAAAAATAATGAATTCTATCCACGGGAATTGAGTATGTAAAAATCTATTGCTGTAAATGTTTGATGAACGAATGGACAGAACAGTCTCAAATGAGAGAGGAGCTATAGGAGACAGAAAAAGAGAGACACACGCAGGACAGACAAAAAAAAGTGATAGACAGAGACAGAGAGGAGACGAGAAAAAGAAACAGAGACTAAAAAGATAAAGACAGAGAGGAAAAGACAGATTTTTAAAACATTAGTTATAGTGTCTTCAGTTTCTTTTCTGGAAGTAGAATTTTCGGGAGTAGAAACCTTGCATGGTATCTCCCAGTGCCCTTAAGCCTGGGCCTGGCCAGCAGACAAAGGACAGTAATGAACCCTCCCTGGGGGTGGGATGTAAGCCAAAGGATGCTGCTTTGGCATACTGGGTGCAGGGATGACTGTTCTCCTAAACCCTTTCAACTGTTAGAGCTTCAGTTGGTGGGTTACACCAAGCAGGGTCCCTGGAGAGAGGAGGATAACATCCCCTGACAGTGACTCCAAGAGGCAGGTCCATCTTAGCTCATGCCCAGTTTAACACATAGAAAAGCTAGGGCTTCCTCTTGGCCTGGAGCTCCCCCTCAAAAAAATACTGCAGTTTGGGGAATTGTATTTCAGAGTGTTTTTCCTAGAGTCAAAGATAACCGGAAAAAATTTACAAATAATGCTTTCACAGGGTTGGGTTTGGGAAGTATTCATTCTCCATCCCTACTGGTTGCCAGGAAGGCTCAGCTCTTCTTCCAGTCACCTGTCGCCTAACTCTGGGCCCCAGGCCTCCAGGGGAATTGGCAGCACTCCCCTGCCTCCTGGCTCTGGGACATAGCTAAGCCTAAGAGTAGGTGAGTCAGGCAGCTGCCTGGGGCACAGGACACAGAGGGGCACCACAATGAAGGACATTTTTCAAATGTGAATTCAAGGCAGTTTTTAATGTTTATATTTTGTAAATGTTTTAGTCTCCTCAATATCTAGCTCTCCGAGACCCAGAAGAAATAATTGTGATAGGTCAAGGGGTGTGGTAAGCTGATTGCAGCTTAATATAAAACCTGGGTAGAAGGTTGGATGAGATAACCTCTTAAATCTCTTCTAAAAGATTCTATGGTCCTCTGCTAGTACAGTCATACACAGGGGGCGCCATTTCCAGACCTTTTGAAGGGCAAATTAAGGCTTCTTAGAGCTTCTAGGGTAAGCCCCCACAGACTGATTCTGTGGAGTGAGGAGGCAGTGATGGTGAAATGTACTTTTGGGAGGAGTGGAAGAGAGCTGGGAAGGTGGTGCATCTGCCTCCCTGGGCATGAAACCACAGAAGAGTAAAAAGGGGGAAAGCTGGATTCTGTGGTTTTAAATAAAAACAACAGAACAGCAATTTTGGAGAAGAGGACTTGAGATCATATATTCCTGGGAGAGTGGAGGGACCATAAAGAATAAGGCAAACCAGAGATCACCAAAGGTGGAAAAAGAAAGTAAGGAGAGGAGGGAGGGAGAGACAGACAGACAGAGAGACAGAGAGACAGAGACAGAGATAGAAACAGACAGAGACAGACAGACAGAGAGACTCAGCATCTTCAATATGGTTCTCACTAAGTGGTCACTACCACTTGGCAACATTGTCCCACTCTATGTGCCTATACCACGTGAATTCTGTTTGATTTTTAACTAAAAAGTAATTTTGTTAGTTAAGTATAAAGTGATCATTCATACCAGGAACAGATGGGCTGGGGTTTGAATAAAATTAATAAATAATATAAGAGAACTTGTTTGTGTGCATGTGTATGTTAGTGATGTGCATATTTGTATACTTATGTGTATGTATCTGTTGGCATGTGTATTGTGGTATGTATTTGTATGTTTTATGTTTTTGAGGAATCTGTGGTGTATGAACAGTTGTGTTTGTATGGGATGTATGTGTGTATATGTGGAAAGCGTATGATGTATATGTGTATTTCTGTGATGTATGTGTTTGTATTTGTATTGTGTACTGTGTATTTCTATGCCTATTACCTCAATGTTGTGTGTGTATATATATATACATGTATATTTGTATGTACATTATTTGTGTGTCTGTCCAAAAGTGTATCTGTGATGTGTATCTATTTTATTTGCATATGTGTGATATGTGTATCAGTATGGTAAGAGTATGTGCATTTGTGTGATATGTATGTGTATGTACATGTCTGTACACTGTGAGGACCGGATGAGCTAGGATCTGTGAGGTGCTTTGCAATAAAAGCACTCCCTAAATGATAAGCATTATTTTAAAGTGTGTGTGTACTTGGGTGCAGAGCTCTTGCTCCAAAGAAAAGGGACTGAAACCTTTTGGCAGTGACAATAAAGTCATGGCACCAGTGTGAGCAGTCAGGAAGGTTCTGTGTAATCCAGTCTTGACCAAAGTTCCAGTGAATGGCATCTGGTGACCTCTGGCTCCCAGGGACCTCTCATCCCTTTGCCCCAAAGCTCAGACCTCAGGCGAATAGTGCTCTGACATTCAACTGGATTCTAGAGCAAAGCCTATTGGCCAAGGGCACCCTGAAGGAGAGGCTTTGCAACTAGGGCCTGTCCTATACCTCTAGACCCTGTAAGGAGGGAGGTTTCTGAAGAGTAAGCCTATTCTTATTTGTAACAATTTTGATTGGCAGATTAAAACAATGTCATTAATAATAAGCAATGATGATCTTTCTATAGTTAAATCATTTTATTTCACTGAGCCTCAGTTTCCTCATCTGTAAAACAGGGGGAATAATACTTATAATAACTACTGAACAGGATTGTTATGAGTCAAACAAGATACATATGAAAAATCTCTTTGAAATCTTAAAGCTCTCTATAAATATCAGTAATTAGCACTGATTTGTTCTCACCCCTCTGGGAGTCTACCCTCCCGGTGCCCACCTTTACTACCTCTATTTCCCTTCCTGACCTCATGGGCGGGGCAGCGTAGGTCACGTCAGAGCTCTGAGTGGGAGCACTTTCGACTCGTTGCTCCAGCGGTCAGGTTGCTCTGGGCGCCTGCTAGAAGTCTGACCCCTCTCCTGTGTGCATCTCACCCTTCCTTCTCCCCTCTACCTTTGTGGGGAGAAGGGGGGAGGAGAGGAATAGTAAGAATGAAAAAGAGAGAGAGAGAGAAGAGAAACAGTGAAGGGAAAAGAAAGCGAGAGAGAAGAAAAGGCAGTGAGAGAGAGAAAAAAAAGAAAAGAGAAAGGGGAGGCACAAAGGAGAGAGAAGAGAGTGGGAAATAGACTAGAAGAAAGAAGGGGAGGGGAAAAAGACACAGTAGAGAAGAAAGGGGAGACAGGGAAAGACAGGAAAAGACAAGGGAGAGGAAGAGGAGAGGGAGGAAGGGAGGGAAAGAAGGAAGAAAAGGGGGAAGAAAGAGAAAGGTAAAGAGACGAGAGACTGAGGCAGGGAGAGGAAAGAGACAGAGAATGGAGATGGGGGGGGCGGGGAGACAAGGGCGAGAGGGGAAAGCCGGAGCTGCGGCCACGCGGGCCGCTCTAATCCGCGCTCCGAGAGATTCCGTCCCAAGCCCCAGCCAAGTTTGGCACCCCGGCAGCACGCAAGAAAGGGCACTTTGTGCCGGAGCTGTCTGTGTGAACAGAAGCCCCGGGCTCCGCGCAGCGCCCCCTCTCCCTCTTGTGTAAGCGCGAACAAAGCGCCAGCTGCAGCCTTTTGTACTTCTTTCAGACGGTATTTGTTCCAATTACCTCCAAACCCTGCCACCATATGGAGGCCGCTAGCCGAGCGCCGGCTCCCCTCAGTAGGCCGGGGACTTGCAAAGTCGCCTCCTCGGCTCCTCGGCTCCCTGCCGCCGCTGCTGCTTGCAGGCAACCGAAGTACGGGGCCCTGTCCTGTCTTCCTTCCTCCCCAGCGTGGCTCCCCATCTTTGCTGAAGTAGTTCTCCCCCCTCCCCAGAACCTTGGGCCGCGCGCTCCAGACTTGCTCGGAGAGGCGCTCCCTGCTCGTTCGTACTGAACCGCAGGGGGTCCAGAAGGAGGGGGAGAACCACAGCCGTTGCCGGCGTGGGCGAAAGAACAGCATTCTCTTTCTCCCTGGGCTCCCACCCCCTCGCTCCTCTCTGGGAAACCCACCTGCTGGAGCCTGGGTTAGGGGCATGGGGTTGAAGGGCAGTTCGATTTTCGATTTTTGGATCCTCGAGCAGTCAAATTCTTGTGACTGGCATTCAAAGGGGCCCACAAGCACACACAGCACACCTTTCCGCAGATGTGAGGGAAAAGTAAGGGTAGAAAGCGTGTTCGTTTTTGTTTTTTAAGGTCCTTCTAGGAATTAACATTCAGGGCGATTCCCTGCAAGCTTTAGGCGAAACGCAGGTGTCCTTTAGCTGTAAATCGAGCAGCTATAGAGAAGAACCTGGGTCCAGCTACATATGCCACTAACTCCCTGCACAGCCTACGGCAAGTACCTTGACTTTTTTCAAGACCTCAGTTTCCCTCTCTGTAAAATAAGAGAGAGGATTAATGATGTCCAAAGAACCTCTCAGATCTGACATTCTTTGTTTTAAGGTTCCTTACACTTTTGACATGCTCACGTTCTGTGTTCTAAGACCCGCCAAGATCTGACATTCTATGCTCCAGGTGACCACGCTGCTCTATATTGTGTTAGAAGGTTTCATCACCGTCGAACATCCTATATCCTGAGGTTCTACCCAGCTCTGACATTTCATGTTCCAAGGGCCCTCCCAATACTAATAGCCTGTGTTCTTGGCTTTTGAATTGAAGGTTTCCCTCGCAAACAATTGATTTTTCTTTTCGAATCTGAGACAATTGGGCAAATCGGTCCCATGTTAACCGGAAGAGCAGGGAGGGTCTCAGCGCCTCCCTCATAGACTCCCCCAACGCAGTCTTCGGACTTCCTCACTTGAGTCCCTCTGGCTAATCACTCTGATCCTCCGTGGGCAAAGCCTCTGGGTTTGCCACAGTAATGTGGTAATATTAGGAATAACAGCTCCAAAAGTGGAATGGAAGGGTAGGAATGGGGGAGAGTGAAGGGAGAGAGGACTGGTCTTTACTCTTCTTCCAGTTGCCTTTGTCAGTTAGGGCTCATGCCAGTGTGGCCTGGGTCCTGTGCCCTTGCCCGGCCCTGGTCTTCTAGGAAAAGATTGAAATGGCCAGGATAAACAACTCCTCCACTTTTGGATTGGCTCAGAATATGCTGTACCAACTGGAAGGAAGGAGGAAAGAGGGAGGGGATGATGGGGAGAAGGGGATGAAATTTGTGGCATAATCCAGGGCTCCTCCCAGCCAGTGGTAAGAGGGAACCATCGGTTCCCCCAACTCCTTACTTCCAAAAGCTTGTCCCTGGCCCAGAGATCTCATAGGTTGCTCTCTCTCACCTTTCTAATGATTGATTCTTCTTCTTTCCTACCTCCCTTTCCCTACCCCCATATTTTCCTCCTCTCTATTCCTTCTTTCTATCTCGAAATTCCAATCTACCTCTACCTCATTCTTTTTCTCATCCATTTCTATTTGTATCCTTTCATCTTCTCTCCTTTGTGCTTCACTTCTTTACCCCCCTCCTTTTCTTTGGTCCTCACCTGTGTCTTTGCTTCCATTTCTCTGCCTCTACTTATCTGTGTGCACCTGGTCTGTGTCTCTTTTCTCTTTCATCTTTGCATCTCAATATTTCTGACCGTCTCTGCATACCTCTGTTCTACATTCTTATCTCTGTTTTCTATTTCCATCTCTTGGTTTGTCTCTGGCCCATGGACGTATACCCTACCCTACCACCACCTTTTTTTTTTTTCGATTTTGTCACTCGGTTGGTTTCTGGTGTCTCTGTCTCTCTGGCCATTTCTGTGTGTCCTTTCTTCCTATCCCTGTTTCTTTTCTATTTCGCATTTTATTTCTGATGTCTCTGTCTTTCCAACCATCTCTGTATTCCTCTACTTCTGATCTCATCTCTATTTCCTCTATCTCTCGGGCTGTATCTGGTTCCTCTGTGTGAATGTGTCCCTCACTGCGTTCTGTTTCCGATTTGTGTCTGTGTATCTGGCCGTCTGACTGTCTATGTGTATCTGTCTCCATCTCTGGGCTTATGGCTTGCTTCTGTTTTTCTACGAATCTCTCCCTCCCTGCCCCTCCTTCCCCCGTACCTTCCCCCATCCCCACTGGCCAGATTACCAAGGAGACTATTACGGCCCTGGAGGAAACTACGACTTCTTCCCGCACGCCCCGCCGTCACAGGCGCAGTCGCCCGCAGACTCCAGCTACTTACCGAACTCAGGGCCTGGCTCCACCCCGCTGGGGCCCCTGGAGCCGCCCCTCCCGGGGCACCACTCTTCAGAAAACCAAAGGTACACGGATATGATCTCTCACCCGGACACGCCGAGCCCTGAGCCTGGCATGACTGGCTCTCTGCACCCCATCCCGGGCGAAGTCTTCACCGGGGGGCCCAGTCCGCCTTTCTCTATGTCCAGCAATAGCGGTTACAGCGGGCCACTGTCACATCCCAACCAGGAGCTGAATGAGGCTGCCGTGTGGTAAAAGCTGCTGGGCCCTTCCCCAGCCCCTTCCCCGCCCAATACACCCGGCTTAGGAACTGCACGGAGCACCCAGACCTCTCCCCACCCCAGGCCCGGCGCCTTTGTGGATCCAGAGTCCTATACAGCACACACGTGCACACACAATTTCTCACTCACGCACAGAATCACAATCTCTCTCACACACACATTCATGAAAGATCGAGAGCGCGCGCGCACGCGCGCGCACACACACACACACACACACACACACACACACACACACACACACACACACACCCCTATACCAAAACGCCCAGCCCCGGGCCTGTATCCCACTGCCTCCAAACCCAGGCGTTATCGCCAACCGAGCCTCACTCAGTACTCCCTCAGGTCCACCATCTAATGTCTGACTCCTCCAAAGGCGGGATAGTACTTGGGGAGAGCCCCATCCATCCCTCACTCGGCCACCCAAGCTGGTTCGACGTGGCTCTTTCCGGGACCTAGAGCCAGACCACAGTGTTTTTCTCCTCGACGCTACAAGCAGTTTTCTTGGACCAAAGTCAATCCCCACTGGATCAACAGATTTTGAAGCACCTGCGAGACTTAAACCTATGTTCCCCTTTTCTTCTTTTCTTGGAGGGAGGGGAGAGGCAAAGAAATGGAGACGATTTTTTTCTTCTCCAATTTCGAAAGGCATTTTTAAAAACACTTTTCTCCCTCACGTCTCCCTTTCTTTAAAAAAAATGAGAAAGGTGTGTGAGAGAAAGAATGGGGAGGAAAGAAAGATAAAAGAAACAGTGAGAAGGGAAAGCAGGGGAAAAGACAGGAGTTGAGGGGAGATGGAGGAAGAGAGAGGAGAAAGCATAAAGGGGGAAGAAAGAGGACAGGGAGAGAAAGGAGAGACAGACAGAGAAAAACAGAGAGAGAGACAGAGAGAGAGAGAATGAGAGAGAGAGAGAAAATGAGAGAGAGACAGAGACAGAGAATATAAGAGAAAAAATGTGTCTTGGTGTGGACTTGGGTTAGGAAAGAAGAAAACTCAACCTGGAATTTGTCGCCCCCCTGTGGCCTCTCCCCAGACCCCAATTCAGTTTTCCCAACCTCAGACGTGGAGGGTTCCTTCTGGGTTAGGGAGACTCCCCACCCCTGCCCCTTTTGCTTTTGATTTGGAGCCCCATGGGGCAGGACTCAGACACTAGCGCCTGCTCCTGGTTCTGCAGAGTGCAACCAGAGGAGCTTTGGCAAGCTGAGCTGGCCAAGGGCCCTAGGAAGCCAGTGGCCCCTGGCCCTGAGCTGTGTGGGGGAGGTCAGGGCTGTAAGGATGTACAGGATGACACTTTTTTGGAAGTTGAGGGCTTCTAGTTTCCTTATTTTGTATAAAGAAACAAATAAAGTATGTTTTTGTGTTTCCTGCATATTTATTGTACTTTCGTCTTCTGGGGTTTGGACATTTTTATATTTTTAAGAGGGGGGGTGGAGAGCAAGGGAGGGGAGACCAGAAAGAGGTTTACCTAAATTTAAGAAAAAACTTTTTTAAAAGAAAAATTAATAATAAAAAAGATCTTTTTCCCTCAGTGCGTTGTGATATTCTTTTCATCTCCCCTACCAGGCCACCTCCTTCTCAGACCTCCTGCAAAGTGAGTAAAATTGTCTTCCTTTTCTTTTTCATTAACTGCCCTTGTAAATTAGAAACCTTCCTATTCCCCCTTGCCTCTGCCTTAGCGAAAAGCATTTTGGTCAATCATTCCCTGCCCCCCCCCCCCCACACACACAGGCTGCATAAGGAGCCCTTAAGGTGCTTCCGAGAATATAAAAGCAAAGGCTCAGGGACTCTGCCATCATTCTCCACTTTACATCCCAGGTAAGTCACATCAGATACTAGTTTCACTGATCATACTAGTGTAATTTCTGAGACAATGTCAGGTTTAAAAAAGAATAACAATGTTAAATGCTTAAATTCATCCACATGGATACATTAGGTTTCAATAGAATGAGTTGGTCCTTGCAAGGTCCAATATAAGGCATGGAGGCTTCACTTAGCCATTCTGTGTCCTATCTGTGGGTGTCTTCCTACAGCATCCATATTTGTCAAGTCTTCCAATAGCAATTCAATTAAAACAACATTCATTAAATATCTTCAGTGGAGAGTTGAGCTTGAAGTCAAACAGACCAGAGTGCAAATTTGGCCTCAGACACTTTCTAGCTGTTCAGCCTTAGGAAAATCACTTAACTTGCATCAACCTTATCTGTATAATGGGGACAATTTAAAAAAAACTTACCTCTAAGGGTTGTGGTGAGGATAAAGTAAGGTAATATTTGTAAAGTGCTTTGCAAATCTTAAAGCACTATATAAATGCTAACTGTTATTACTATGATTAATAATAATAGTTTCCAAAGTTCCCAGAGGTTCCCAAATTCCCCCTAGGAGGTGCTGGAACAATCCATGAGGGTGGCAGTAGTCTCAGGTGCAATTGAGGGGCATTGAATTTGGAAGCATAAGGAAAGAAAAGAAGAAAATTTTTAAATGTTTGTATGTGTTTCATCTGTTGTGTAACAGAGTTAAAGTCATAGTGATGACATTATTTTCCAAATATACACACAAAATGCAAGTTATAATCCATCAGTGATCAAGTCTACTGACAGGTCTTAACAAGCAAGTGTTGGCAGATGAGTGTGTTGTGCATTGTTGGGAAGTCGAGCATGCATCAGCAGGAATATATGCATGTAATGACTTGTTTATAATATAATACTATATGGTTACATAATGCAATATTGCTTCATCACAATTTCAATGCAGGGAAAAACCCACAACTTTACAAAAAATTATTAAATTTAAGATGCATCATTTTTAAAAATTGCATTTTTGGGAATGATGCAAATTAAAAAAAAACAAAAAGCATTAAATGGTTGAAGACAGTAGATTTCCAGGGGGTCACTGAATAATTTTTTTTGAAAAGGGGGCGATAGGCCAAATAAGTTTGGGAACCTCTGATTATTATTAACGAATATATATTTATTTAGATGGGACATAGTCCCTGCCCTCATAGAATTTATAGTCTAGTCGTGGGGTGGAGGATAATACATAGGCACATGAATAACTATTTTAAATTTAGAACTGGACCCATGATTTCATTGATATAGAGAACTTTTTGTGAGAAAACTCCTTTTACCCACTCAGATCCAGCCCCTGTTCTGCAACCCATTGCCTTAAGGAGTTGCCTGGGAAACTGAGGGATTCAGGGGCATAACTCAGGCTTACAAAAAAAGTAGGGCTTGAACCCAGATTTTCCTTACTACAAAGTTGGCTGACTAGCCTTTATGCCAAAACTGACTCTCCAATACCAAAAAGAAATAATGTAAGTGCTTTTACAAATGAATAAGCAAAGTGTTGTGTGTGTCATTAAAAACTTGTAGCAACCAGGATGGGCTTCTGCAAGAAAGGATATTCGAGATGGGCTTTAAGGAATGAGTAATTCAATGAGCTGGGGGTAGGGTATGGGTTCTAGGTATAGGCAGCAGAATGAACAAAGCAGGAGAAAAGAAAATATTACAGGGGATAGTAAGAGGTCCAATCTGCCTGCAGCACTGAAGACAAGGAGGAGAATAGTATGAAATAAGGCTGGAGAGGGAGGGCAGTGTTAACTTGGGGCATATTGACTCAATTAAAGCCAATAAGGATTGATTTAGTGTCTGCTGTATGCTAGGTGTAGACGATACAATGGCAAAAATGAAACAGCCCTTGCCTGAAAGGAGCTTACATTCTTAAATGCCAAACAAAAGACTTTGAGCTTTATTTGGTAGGCAATAGGGAGCCGGTGGATGCCCTTGAACAGAGGAAAGACAAGACTATATGGATACATAAGCACAATTCTTCCTGCAGTAGTATGAAGAATAGTTTGGAGAAGAGGGAGAGTAAAGCAGACCTTTGCTCCTTAGGAAGCTATTGCAACAGTCCAGGCAGAAGCTAATGAGGGCTTGTTACTAGGACAGAGTCAGTGGACCTAGAGAGGAGAGATGTTAGAGATATCATAGAGGTCAAATAGGATTTGGTAATTCATTGAATGGGAGGGATGAAAGATGGAGAAGTCAAAGATAACCTCAAGGTTTAAAATCAATCAGCAAGCAACAAACATTAGTCACCTACCATGTACCAGGCACTAGGAATACAAAGACAAGTGAAAGTCTCTGTCCTTGAGGACCCCACAGCCTCATCAGAGAGACAACATATGTTGTTCAGTTATGAGTCCATAGGGTAGGAGGAAAAAAGATGCTAGCACATAAAACATGGGAGACTGGATGGATTTGGGTCATAGCATGGACAAAAATAGTGGTCAGAAGGAGGAACAGATTTAAGGGCAAAGATAAAGACTTCAGACATAGTCAGATGCACACCAGGTGAAGAGGTTCTGTTGAGAGTGGAAGTGTCTGGGCTAGATAGGTTTGGAGTTCAAAAGTCAGGCTGGAACATTGGAATGTGGATTTGGGAGTCAGCAGCATAGGGGTAGCAGTTGAAGCCATTTGAGTGCATGAGATTGAGGAGGGAAGAGAAGTTTAGATCCTGGGGGTAAACACCTAGAGACAGCCTTCTATGCAGAGTCTAAAAGAAATCAGGTGAGGACAAAGTAAAAACTAGGCTGTAAACAATAGACACAATGACCACTATAATAAATCAATCAATCAGTAATCATTTAAGTGCCTATTATGTTCCAGGCACCATGATAAATGATAGGAACATAATGGCCAAAAAGTGAAATAATCCTTGACCTTAAGGAATTTACATTCAATTGGAAGAAACAGATACATATAAGTAAAATAGAAGGTAATTTACAGGGAGGTGATAAGAACTGAGATATCATTATGAGCACTGTGTAGCAGAAGGCACTTGAGCTAAATTATCTATATAAAGTCACATGAACTCTCTTCAATGGCAGTGGTCAATGCCTGTGTTACACAGTTAAAGGTCACATCCCTCTTGTCTGTTGACAATCAAGTTACTGTTTGGGGGTATGTAATTTGTGGACA